TATATATATATATATATATATATATATATATATATAAAATCGGAATTTGTGATCATTTTGATTAACACGTTTTTAAAATCAGCCATTTCATTTACATTTAAGAAAATCAGCTTATATTTATAAAGGCACCCTGACTGCAATAAATGCAACAAAACGTTAGCGTTAGAGGACTTATTTCGTATGTTGTCAACGTTATCGTATTTACTTTTATTCTGAAGAACCGGATTTATACCGGAAGTGACGGAAGCTTTATAAACAAAGCCCGAGTCGATTGAGCGTCTGTTGTGAATCGGGGTTGAGGAAATCTCTGGCAGTCCCCAAAAATTACTTAATGGGATCACATTTTAATGCTCCTGGCGATATTTTTTTGAAATTACGTTTCTTCTTGGGAGGGTGAGGGTGTCGAGTGTTAGCCTAGCCTGTTAGCTGATGGAGATCAGACTGTTTCTGAAGGCAGAGAGATCATTCTGTGAAAACCTCAGAAGTTTGGAGAAAGGATAACTAACAGAGATGGACAGGTCGACACAAAGTGATGGTAAGAGTTGAACCTGCTTCATTTATTTAACCTCTCTAATCAGATGTCTGTGAGTGTTGTAAAATCTGATTTCCTAATGTAAACATTAAAATGACTGGACTTTTAGAGGACTGTTCTGTTTTAATTGAGCACAACTAGGGCTTTAAACTAGAGCCACATCCACCCAATTACACTTAGGCATCAGGTGGGTGGGTGCCTTGCTCAGCGACACAGGGCTCGTAGCAAAAGAAAGCTGAGTTTGAATCCACAACTTTAGTGTAATTTTTATGGAGAACCAACTCTGCCATATTTAAAAATAAATAGTGATAAATAAATGCTCAATAAATAAATAAGCATACAATTAATTGCCCCTAAAAGTACAATACACAAAAAAATGTAGGTAGAAATGAAATTAAACAGTGAGACATAAATGTATGTATCTCTTTTAATTAGCTTCTTTATTTATTCGCCTTTGAATTTTTTGCTTTATTTATTTATTGTCAGTTATAATCTTCAACTTTATTTATGTATTACTGGTATTTATATAGATACATGTGATAATATTTTTGTCAGTTTTATTCTTCCGTTGTATTTTTTTTACCCTAATATTTCTTCAACGCTATTTATCTCTGCCATAAACCTTTTTTTTTTTTTTTTTTTTTACTAAACTTTAAACCTAAATTCTGAAATTGTCTTTAAATGTAAGCCATTTAAATGAACAGATACCATAAATATGAATAAAATAAGCTTCCCGAAATACCTCAAAATATAACTGATGGTTACAAAAGAAGGATGTGATCAAAATGTAACTAGCTCATTCAGTTTAATATAAATTATTAAGGTTAATGCAGATATTCAAACCTGAATGGATTTCTGAAAATCCACAATAAATTAAACTTTTGCATCAGAGTCTTTTTCTTAAAAAATCCTTTAAAAAAACTATTAAAATAGCTGTTAATGTGATATTTATCTCTATGGCAGTATTATGTGGCAAAGTGTGAGTTCTGGTTATTTGACTTTTGCTTTATTATTCATTTATGATCATGTTGGTTTTGTTATTTTCAGACAGAGGTGTTTTTTGGGGGGGTGAAATAATATCCTGGTGTTGCTGCTTGTTAATATCAACCTGAGCATGTTACCAAGGACTGATCTGTGTTTCTGTTTCCTGCAGACATCCAGCGGCTGCAGGTTTTAAAAAATGAGGCACCGCAGGTTAAAGAGGAACAGGATGAGGCTGAGATAACCGAGTTTGTATTTAATCCCGTGAAAAACGAAGGTGATGAAGACTTAGCTCAGACTTTGGAGCTTCAACAATCCTGGTGTGAGGAGAACACGGTAGGATCTGAGTCAAATAATGACCAACTTCAAAAAGCTTCAGAGATAAAAGTCACTGATGAAACCTGTGAGAAGAACAAAGGGCCCTTATTAGGTGATATAGATGCAAAGAAGTTGTACAGCTGCTCTGAATGTGGAAAAACATTCAATAGTAGGCCGTGTCTTGCGAGACACAACAGAATCCACTCGGAAGAAAAGCCCTTCAGCTGCTCCTTCTGTGATCAGAAGTTTAGCAGGAGGGAAAGTGTGACTCGACACATAAGATGCCACACTGAGGAAAAACCTTTCAGCTGCTCACTTTGTGAGCAAAGGTTCAGCAGGAAGGAAAGCCTGACCTATCACATGACCTACCACACCAAAGAAAAACCTCACAGCTGCTCCATCTGTAACAAAGCCTTCACTTCCAAAAGAAATCTGATGGAGCATGGGCGAATCCATACAGACGAAAGACCGTTTAGCTGTTCCATCTGTAAGGCCACTTTCAAGCGGAAATACACGCTAGTGGAACACACCAGAAGTCACACTGGACAGAAGCCATACAGCTGCTCAGTCTGCGGTCAAAGCTTCAGTCACGGCATAAGCCTGACTCGTCACATGAGATGTCACACAGGACAAAAACCTTACAGTTGCCTCATCTGTAAGGCCGCCTTCAAACTGAAAAACGCGCTGATGGAGCACACAAGAATTCACACAGGAGAGAAACCTTTCAGCTGCTCAGTTTGTAAGGCAGCGTTCAGGAGGAACCAGGATGTTGTGAAGCACACCAAGATCCATGCAGGTAAATATTAACTGAGGCAAACTGATTAATAAAGAGCATTACAGTAACAAGACAATTTAAAGTGCTTTACGTGGAGAAAAAACACAGAGAAAAGTAGATGATGGCATGGATGGAGAGGAAAAAAAACATTACATTATTATCAATTGCGTATTTATGGTAATAAATAACATAGATAATTAAAGTGATGCAATTATAACAAATTAATAATAAAAATGAAAGAAAATCGGATAAAAAAAACTTAAACTAATAATGCTTAGATAGCACAGGCTTAGGCCATTAACAGGTTTTAATCTTTATTCAAAGCAACATTGGGTTTTAGCGCATTTACAGTTTCTGGTAGTTTGTTTCAGACTAGTTAAGCATATGAGCTAAAAGCTGCTTCCCCATGCATGCATGTACTAATTGACTTTTTAGTTAGACCTGTGAAGACACCATTATAATTACCAATTCTTACAAAGATCAAGGCAAGGCAAGTGTATTTGTCTAGAGCAATTCAGTACATGGACAAATCAAAGTGCTTAAAATTAATTAGATAATAAAATAGAAGAAAAATAAAAGCAGAAGAAAAGCAAATTAGGATGAAAACATAATAAAAGCAGGCGGTAAAATTAATCAAACAGTTGGAACATAAACTTAAACTAATAAAACCCCAGTTAACAGTTTAACTTCAACAGTCAAAGGCAGCTCTAAACAAATGGGTTTTTACACTGACCTAAAAAAAGAGCTCAGGTTTGCAGCGCTGTTTACAGTTTTTTTAGAAGTTTGCTCCAGATCAGTGGAGCATAGAAACTAAATGCTGCTTCTCTATGTTTGGTTCTAGTTCTGGGTGAACAGAGTCAGCTTGAATTAGAAAACCTGCGTGGTCTGGGAGGCTGATACACTGACAACAAATCTGTTATGTATTCAGGTGCTGATCTATTTATTGATTTATAGACCAACAGAAGGATTTTAAAGTCTATTATCTGACCTACAGGGAGCCAGTGGAAAGACTTGAGAACCAGGCTCTACTTTCTTGGTTCTAATGAGAACACATGCTGCAGCGTTTTTGGATCAGCTGCAGCTGTCTGATGGACTTTTCTGGCAAACCTATAAAGACACTGTAGCAGTAATCAATTCTACCTAAGATTAATGCAGGAATGAGTTTTTCTAGATCCTGCTTTTAATCCTGGAAATGTTCTTCAGGTTATAAAAAGCTGACTTAGTGACTGCCTTCATGTGCCTCTGAAGGTTCAGGTCTGAGTCCATCAGATTTCAGCCACAATCAGTGGTTTCTAGCTTTAATAGCTGAAGCTGTGAGCTAACCCTGGCTCTCTCTTCCTTCGATTAAAATATTTTATCCTAAGTTTTTTGTTTATTCAGATGGAGAACATTATAGCACATGTTGATCTGTTCTAAGCATCTAGTCTACGCTCTGATGGCTTCATGGACACCTGGAAAAACTAATCCATGTGTTTATTTTTAGTCGAATTGA